GCATTCATTGGCAAAAAAGTCAACAGCAAATAAAAACAACAAATGAGCAAACTTTGCAAACAGAGGAAAAAAAGTTTCTGTTTGTTTTTACTGTTAAGGTTCAACTTTCACGATTCATCAGCATCATCTTTAGTAGCAAAATAAAGTCAAAAGTAAAATGTTTCATTTGGAAGCAGCAAAAAAACAAAAATAATGTTGATTGTGATGCCCTTGACTGGTTTGCACTTAAACAGTTGATCAGGGTTTCCGGTCAAGTTGTACTTTCACCACTTAACAGTAATCACGTTGATTTGCCAGGAGACTTGAATGACTTTAGTGACACACTTGAGGTGTCATCTTACTCATCAGTGATAAAATGAGAAACATCAAGATGAACAAGATAGTAACAAGTAACGAAAAAGGCAAAACAAGAAGTGAACGAACATTGGCCGATTATTTTTACTCTATGGTTAGAGTTGCCTTTTTATCCCGTTTATGTATTTTAAACATTAGCCGACTTAAGCATCATCCGATTATTTTGCATTATTGTTGTGACAAAAAGTTTATCAAAGCTTAAACGGTTAGATGAAAAAGGTGACAAAATTGATCAGTTTAAGACAAAAGGTTCAGGTTGATTGGATAAAAGGATAATTTTGAAAAGTCGTCGAGTTATTTTGCATTATTATTGTGAAAAGTTCAGAGTTTAAGCTCTAAGAATCTTAAGATTATCCAACTCAATTGTATAAACTGTAAATGTAAACAAATTGGAAATTTCATCAAAAGTCGCAAATTTTCTCGACTTTCTCGACGTTTAACCTTGCATCATAAAACGTGTTGAAAACACACATCAATTTGTCTTTAGCTTAAGAAGAGTTTTGAAGCTTTAGCGTTCTAGGAAAGCGAATTCTCGGAATTGAATTTCTACTCAACCTAAAACATCGTTCTTGGTTTTGTTTTCAACATGAGATGAAAATATTTGAAGGATAACAGAACGATGAAAAATGGAAACTCCATGAGGCTCAGTTTTGCAAGCTGATTCATTCTGTTTGAAATTAATTTCATTTTCAGGCTTGCAAGTTATGTGCTTAAGTAAAGACGAGTGAAAATGATCAAGGTCAAAATCCGCTTATTTTCCCTCTTTTTCCTGATAAGTGTTGAGTAAAAGAAAGAGTTGTTCTGATAAAATATTGAAGGGGTTAAAGATACAGTTTGAAAAAGTTTCAATTTAAGCTAAGCTTCTACAAAACCATTGATATCGTCAACACTTTAATTGGCATTTCAACCTTTTCTGTTCATCATCTTCATCATCCTTTACCTTTTTCATTTGATATAATTTTGAAATGGGATTTGAGAAGAAAATGAAAACAAAAGAAAACTTTTTGTAATTTTCATTCGAAACAGATAAAAAGTAACTTCATTTTTCTCCAAATTCAGAAGTTGAATGTTTCTATGAAAAAAGAAGAAAAAAATCAATACAAAGTTGATCATCAAAAGTTGACTCAATGTTGATAAACAACATCAATAGTCAATATTTTGGGAATCATTTTGGCAAAAGTTTGGTTCGATAATAAAGGAGAGAGAAAAAAAATGGAACAAGATTCAATCATTTCAAATGAATAAGTATAATACATGAAATGAATTTTACCCTGGTTAATGGTTATAATAACGATACAAGTAAATTTAGATAAATCTATAAGAGCAAGTGAGTGAAACTGGAAAGGGAAGATTCCTTAATTTAGGGAAGAGACAATATACTTGCATTCGCCTGGAAAGGTTGAGATAAAAATATCTCTCCGTTGATGATGATGATGATTAGAGCTGAATGATGTAAAAAAGATGATGAAGGGGGAAAAGATGAAGACAAGTCTGCATATCCAGTGAAAAAGAGAAGCAACAATCAATTCATTTCCTGCCCTTTAATCCTGATATACGCTTTCTCCTTTTCTTCATCATCATCATCTTCTCCATCCCTTTTTTTCTCCTTTTTCACATTTCTTTTCATTCTCTTTTCTCTTCCACAATTGACTCTATTCAACATGAATACCTTATTTTTCTTTATATTAATCTTCTATTTCCTTCACCATCATCCTCATCATCCAATATCATCATCATCCCATAAACAAGGCAACTTTTTACTTTCGAGTAGCTTTTTTATTCGTTTTTTTTCTCGGTGCAAAAGTGGCAATAAGCAGTTCAATGGTAATCATGAATGACAATCTTTTACCTGGTAACATTTCTGGTAACATTTGACTTTATCTTCAATGCAAACGACATCAACAAAATTCTAGTCTTGGTTGACCCGAAATTGCAATGAAACATTGATTACTTTTGTAGAGCAAAGATTGAAATCAATTTTATTATTATTGAAACAGAAATTGGTAAAAATGTAAAAGTTTTGAAACTGATTTGATGCTGATAACTCGAGTTATCGCGTCAATTCATTTTCAATCGAAGCCTGTACTTCGGAGGTTAAATTATTGCTATTTTGTTGTTGGGAAAGTGTTAGACTAATTTGATTCCGATGGACATTTAATTTACCTTGAAATACCTTAAGTAAACATGTAAAATGCATCAGTTTATTTTGTATTGATTGAAATGTTTTGCCTTGTTTGTTACTTGATGAGAAGAGTTGATTTCACTTAATCATTAACATGGACAAATTGGTTGAACCAATGTTTAGTTGAATTGTCACAGTCAAATTGTTGCAGGAAATGAAGCGTATGATTGAATTGAAATGTGATTCTAAGGGTAAATACGCAAGTTGACAGCATTGTTCATGTCATCATCATCTTGATCTAAATTTATTGTTGTCACACTTGATTTTCATCCTTCAAATCTTGTAACTGTAAACGATTGGCAAGTGAAAATTGCTTCAACTATTTTCTCGATAATTGTTCATGTTCACGTTTCAGTTGCAACTAGAACATGCTAGAACATGATTTTCATTTGATGAAGGGCAAACTGGCAAGAAAAGCCAAAAAAGTAGGAGTAAAATGATGAAAAAAGCATGAAGATGACGAGAAGAGAGAGAGAGAAAAGATGAGTTATGAAAAAAAAGTATTTTTTCATATTGAATATTTTTTATAAGCTGAAACATGAAGTGGGTGTAGGATTTCACAGGATGCTGGATAAGGAAATGTGAGGAGGAAAAGAAAAGGAAAGATGGCGAGAGAGGAAAGTATGTATATCAACGGGATGTTGTTGAAGACGATTGACGAGCAATGACATTTAAAGCAACTTCAAGAGACAAGATGACTTGGAACAAGGCAACATCATGAAACATCAATACGAACAAGGGTAACCACATCACGGTCAACAAGCTGTAAAATACAAATATCTTGACTGTCTTCATTTTACTTCATTTTTTACCTTTTATCAAGGTAGAGATAAATATGATGGAAGATTTGACAAGGTATGTCACGAGTAATCCTTATTTTACATGTCTTCATTCATGTTGAGAGACAAGCTTGGTAGACAAGGGAACAAGCAAAACAAGAGACTCACAAGTAAGCAGCAAAAAGCAAAGTAAGTAGACTCATGAGAAAGAACCTCAATCAAGTTTACATGTAATAAGAATAATATATTGGATAATGCATTTACTGAACATGCAAGTTGAACATTAACAGGGGGACTCCCGAAGCGGTCATCAAAAGCGCAAAATGTTAAACCCATCAAATTGAATGAAAAGCAAGAGTCAAACTTTGATATCTTTACTTGTGCTTTAAATGTTGCTTTGCTTTCGATTCCTGAAAATGCAAGTCAACAGTAAAACATTGATATTTTCACTGAATTCAAAGTCGATTTTGCAAAAAATTCTATTGAATTGATATTTTCACCTAAAGATTGATGCAATTTTTTTTAAGTTTTGAGACTAAATTGAATCTCTTTGACCTTCTTTACTATTTTGCATTATTGGTGACAAAAACAATCATCGATCCAAATGCTGCTATAAGTCTTGCCATTTCAATCTGATTACTTGTTTCATCTGAACATTTCTTATTTTGATTTTTTTGGCATTTCTTGGTGCTTAACGGACCCGAATTGCAATGGTTAATGATTAGTGATTATTGATTGTTTGAACCTGATTTTTGTTTTAAGTAAATAAAAGTATTAGTTTGCATTTCATTGTAAATTGTCGATTTTGTTTAAACTTGGTTTAAATAGGGTTTACTGTAAGTTGGGTTAGTAGTATTAGGTTAGGTTAAGCTTGTTGCCTTGGTTCAAGTTATCATTAATGGTGATCTTCAATGATTATGTAGCGATAAGTTGAAAGTTTGTTTATTAGATATGGTCTTGTCAGACTAAACTAACCATTTAATTGTGCAAAAGCAATGTATACACGCTCATAGAAATCAATTGGTTTAACCAGCCAAAAAAAGTGTCAAAATGCAACTGACCTGGCCAAACATGATACTGACATTCATCAATACTTGTAACAGTTTGCTGGTATCCATTCAATGGTACCAAAGATACACATACAAACACACTCAACACTTTAATCCAGTTATCATCGGTTTAAGAGAGATTAAATGTTAAATATTTACACGTTGTTCAAATAAAACCTTTTCAGGCGATACTTTTTTGCTTCTCCTTACCAATCCGATACTGTGTAATGTCCGTAATTAACATGGGCTAATGACGAGTGGACAAACGGGTGCATTAAACCTTAAAAATCGTTCAAAACCCAATAGAACCCGATCTTGATCAATTGCAAGAAAAATCTCAACTTTTCCACAAAATTTAAAAAAAATTCGTCTTCGATTAAAACACTTCAAGCTATTCAACTTTCAAATTGATCAGCCAAAGACAAAAATTGCATCAATATGCAAAAGAAACGCTAAAGATTCAGGAATTTTTTCAAATTTACATGAAAATGAAATTAGAAAAGTCGAGTTTCGAAATATTTTTTCAATTTTCCTTTTACTCGCACTTTTCCCAGTTTTGCCAGATTTTCAAGTTTAATCCGACCATTTGTCCACTCGTGATTACGCCAAAATGGCCAAAAAAGTTGATCTACTTACGCTTGCTCTTCAGTGTCCAAATGATGAACCAGTTCATTTCGTTTCTCAACAATTCGAAGCAACTTTTCGAGCAACAATTTCTCCGTTTCCCTTTGAGCATCCGTCTTTTCCCAATCTGTATAAACATGGAACAGCCAAAAAAAAGAAGCAAGAAAAGGTTAAGTTGATTGTAAAAAATTGTAAATGTCATAAAAAGTAGTGAATCAAGATTAAGCCTATAATATAAAAAAAAGATGATGATCAAGATGAGATGATAAGGTAAGGAAGGCAGAGTGAAATTAAGGAATCACAAAAGATTCAGAGTGACCTTCAACATACAAAGATAAATAAAAAAAGATGCTTTTTATTATCATTATTATATTTGCTTTCAAACAATTTTTACTTTTTTTTCTTGTTCGTTCAAAGTATTTCTTTTCTTCTTCTTCTTGTATATGAATTATAACAAAATGAAATTTTATGAGGATAAAAAAACACTTTATTGGAAGATGAAGAGAAAAAGAAGAAGAACAAGAAAAGATTGAAATAAACATCTCAATCAGAAGGTTGGAAAAGTGTGAAATGAGGTGAAATAAAGTTGGCAAAGTTTCAAGATGTGATTGAATATGAAATGATATTGACCGAAAAATCAAATAAAGGTAAGTGAAAATGAAATTGAAAAGGTAAACAATTAACTTTGTTTTTCCTTCTTCTTCTTTTTATTTCTACTTCTCTCTTTACCAGGCAAGGTGAAACTGTTTACCAAACCTTGTTTAGGTAACATTTGAATCGCAAACTGTTTTGAATAATGTTTTACATTTGCTCGTGTAAATAGAGTTTCAGAGTGTAGAAAAGCACGTTCAGTTGGTCAATTGAAATGTTGCTGCAATATTGTAAACATGATAATCGGAAAAGCAAATTGTAAGTAACAAAAGTTAAATGCCATTTCATTTTTGATTAATATTATTTTTAGTGCCGTTCAAGGTAACATTCAAGTTTACCCTCTTTATCGTTCGGGTAACATGATAACAATCATTTTAAACAATAATCGAGTGAACAACAAGATAATTTATGTTTCATTGAGAGGCAAATTTATTAGCTTGTCCAGGTCAAAGTGGTCCGCTTTGATGCAGATACAAAAAAAATGATCAGTTTAATAGAGAAACCAACGATTTCTCAAAATTCAAGCTGATGCAAAAGGTTTCATTTTCTTGCGACTTTTCAATTTCTGGTATTTTTTGGTTGATTTGAGGCAAAAATCGTTCTCTACCAAAACTTGACTTTGCAAAACATTTCAATAGTTTGTTCACAAATATAACTTTTTGTGAGTTTCAACGATTCACGCTTTATAAGGATTTTCATAGTTGGGATCAAAAACATAGATTTCTGAAAATGAACATTCATTAAGAATCAATTGCGACTACAAATCTCAATCTCAAAATGACGAATTTAGAACTTGAAACTTGATTAGCGAATAATGTTCAGCTAGAAACATCTAATTTTGATTGAGACGGAAAAGTCGAATAATGTTTTTTTCAATCAATTAAATGAATTGGATAATTTCAGAAGCTTCATGATTTTGTAAAACTTGGTTTGTTTAAAAAGTTGAACCTTCTATTGAATTTTCATGTGATGCTGAAGAATGGTTAGAATGAAAAATTAACACTTTAATCTCATCTACTTTAATGGTGAGCTGACCGATTGATATTGAATTTTCGTTTGATTTTTTTTGTTTAATTGAAAAGATGCATTTAAATGAGTTTTTTTCATGTTTTGAACATTTTTTTGTCAAAATTCATTCTAAGTGTGAAATGAATGGAGATTTTCTTCTTTTTTCTGGTTAACTGTTTGGTATCAATGAATAAACTGATGGGAATTTTAGTTGACTCAAGTTTGCTTTTGTTATTGCTCAGATCCAGGATTAGACTTAACTTTGTATTAAGAGGTGAGAACACAATGAGTACAACAATGAAACAAAAAGTCACCCAAAAGTGAAGCATAATCATGTTGACAGTAAAAGTGAAAATATTTGTTTCTTGTTTGCCTTTCAATTGAACCAATTCAAGCCTGGAGTCATTTTTGAGGTAAAACTTTTTTCACATTTTCCGTTATTTTCATGGCATAAGAGTGAGATATAAAAGCAAAAAAGCGAGCAAAACAAAATCAAATGAATAACTTCAACTGATACAATAACAACAACAATCAACATTATCAAACAATAACAACATTGGCCTTTTTTTAGATTTGTTTCAACTCTGCTTCAGGATATTTATTTAACTAAGAATAACATCATTTTGCAAGAGAAGAAGAAGAAAGAAGATGACAAAAAAAAAGATGACAAAGATGAGCAGGAAGAAGAGATGATGAGAAAAAGATGCAAGAAGAAGATGCAAGTAAACCTTATAAAATGTAACTCAGTCAAGTTGAAAAGCAAAGAAGATTTGGTTTTTACAAGAGAAAACGAAAAAGGAGAAAAAAGCGAAAAAAAACATTCAATGTTGATCATCATTTTTTCACTCCCTGTCTATTTTGATTCTGTTGATGCACTTTTTGGGTGAAAAAAAGGAATCGGAAAGAAAGCAAAAAGAGAGCAGAAAAAAAGAAGAAGAAACAACACAGAAAAAGATTGTATAGATAATTGTATTTATCATCATTTTTTTCTCCTTTTTTCTCATTTATCTTCAATTCTTGACTGCATCCTTCAGGTATCATTGATTCTTGTAGTTGATTCACTTCTATAGGAGTTTCTCATCATCATTATCATCATCGTTCATGGAGTGGAGCAACAAAATAACTAGAGAAGAAAAAAAAGCCAAAAAGCAGCAATTATGACCATCTTCTCTCTCTCTTCCAGTTACTCTGTTTCTCTCCATTCCTCAAGGGAAAACTGCATCTTCATCTTTTCGCATCACTTTATATAGGATCAGTTCTAGGTGATATATAGGCTCCATTAGGCGTATACTTGCTCCATCCTGATAGGCTGTATTACTTTCCACCCTCTTTTCCCTCCTTTCCTCTTCTCTCTCTCTATAAAGTTTCTCACTCATCACTCTCACTGTTGCCTTTCATGCCCACCTAATGAGCTGTCTTCCTCCTTCACAAATCAATAGTCAAGTTATGCCAACTTATGCAAACATGCAATTATCAAAAGTAAAAGATTGCAAATTGGAAAGGTTGGAAAAGATGAAAAACTTTTTTTTTCTTGTTTCACCAAAAATTGAAATGAAAAATTGAAACTGTAATGAGAAACATTTTTCAATTTTTCATTCAACTTTTTTTCGGCTCTAGTTTTGCAAGTTTTACATGGAAATTGACTGTTCAATTGAGATAATATTCAAGTGATGCACTTTTCAGGGAAACCATTTTGATGGTTGGCTGGTGATAAGGAAACAATGGCAAAGCCTTTTTCCTTGTGCTGTAACTTTGATAACAAGGTTTACTCAGAGTCAACCGTTGACATTTTGTTTACATTTGCCAGTGAAAATGTTGAGCAAATGCAATCAAATAACAAATGATGAAAATAATAAAATACATGAAAAGGTTTTTGTGTCTTTCTCTCTCTCTTTCTGTATACCATATCATGTTAAATGGAGGAGGTAAAAGGGAGTGAGAAGAGTGAGTGACACTGATATTTTGTTTACTTAGTCAGGGTGAGATGGTAGCAATGGCAAGAAGCAGAAGCAGCAAAGTTTCAGGTGGTATCATTGCCTAAGGCAGTGAAACATGCAAAAAGGCAAAAAGTGCAACAGCAGCAGAAGCAAGGAAAAGGTAAGCTTTTATTGCAAAACCTTAATGCAATGTCACATTAACTTTGCCAGTTTGCTTTGTTGCTTTTGTGCCGTTTAATGCATTGACCAAGAACGAGAAAAACGTAAAAAAATCAACATTGAACGTCTTTTGACAAACAGACATTTTGTTTGCTCATCAACATTTGGGCAAAACTTGCAATTAGTCAATTTTGGGTTAACATTCAATATTTTTTCTTCTTCACAATCAAATGTCTTTTTCAGTGTCATCATGTCAATGGTGATTATCATGATGATGATTGGGAGGAACAAGAAAAGACAATAATCTTTCTCATTTCTTGTTCATCTCATTATTTGCCTTCAATGTTTCATCTTTTTTCGTCCTTTTCCAGTTCTTCCTTTAAATGCATTTGATTACTTGATGCTTCACTTTATTTCATCTTCATCTTCATCCTCATCTTCTTCATCATTTTCTGTTCCTTTTTTTGTTTCTTTTTTTTTGTTTCTTCCCTTCGCTTTTCTTCACCATTTCAATTGTAACCAGGCTTTTCCAATGAAATAGTTATATCAGGTAAGAATAATGTACAATGAGAAGAAACAAGAAAAATCTTCTTCTTCCTTCTCATCTTTTATTTTCCTTCTTCTTCTTCTTCTTTTTTCTTCTCGCACCAAATTTTCTTCCAATATAATCTTCTTATCTTCTGAAAGCCAGGAAGCATGAAGTAACCAATTTTCCTTTCTTTTTATACTCCTTCGTCTCCCTCTTTCGCCTTCATAAATACACAAACATCTATTGACATTTATGTGATGATGATGATGATGCTCAATGAATACAAGTTTTCAATCTCCATTGTCAAGTGTCTTTTTTTATACGATGTAACTTTAACTCCAATCATTTCCTTTTCCCCTCATCATTCACTATTATATCAACGGCAAATGGTCACAGTCACACACACAAATAATTGTAACAACAAAGTATAAACACTCAATGATTCACCTAAAAATGATATTATATACAATAATAGCTGCGTTAAATCAGCTATTAACATCCGTTGCCATCTTTTTCAATCATTCAATTGGATTTACAGGTGAAAAAATAGATAACACTAACTGTTAACATTCAGCTAAATCAACGACTAATTATTGAATTCAGTAGAGTTGCATGATAAGTTGCTAAACTTTCAATCATTCAAGTTGAATGTTCAACTCTGACCATTGAATCGGAATAAACACAAATCACAATTCAAACCAATGATCCTTTGAACAATAAACTTGCAAATGTTATCAATTTGTTGCTACAAAAATAATGCAAAATAACCTGATGAATATTGAGATTCAAGTTAACCGGTTCACATTGAGTCAACCCTCTAAATCTGGTAAAACTTGTTCACAAACCATTAGCCAGGTAAATTGAAATGTTAGCATAAAATCAAGTTTATTATTGGTATTGAAGTCAGCCAATTGAATTGAACAATTTTTGCACCTAAAATGCATGGAAAAACTAAAATGGCAAAAACAAGAAAAAAATGAACAAAATTTCATGGAAAAAACCTGAAAAAATATTAAAGAGTTGAATGAAAGCGTTACAACTGTCAACTGACAATGAAAGTGGATATAAACATATTTATATACAGTTAATATTATAATCATTTAGACTATTAAGTGTGCGTCTGTGTTTGTTGGATATATAATAATAAACTAAATAAACGCAGGATTAGAATCAACTTTTGCAAGATTATCCTTTAATACACTAGATTAGTAATTGTTGATTGCAAAGTAACAAGTAACTTTTAAAACGTTTGATAATTCCAACGAAAGAGTGAATGCCTTTAAACACATAGAGAGGGAGAAACATAATAATACGAGAGATATGCGAGAATAATCAGGGTCTTTGGAACACTTATCCTCATCTTAAAATTGTTACAAGACGTTGAGAGTGAGAAAGATGAAGATGAAGATGAAGAGAGAGAGAGAAAGAGTATTAGATATTTGACTGATCTTACAATAGGATCACAAGCGTCTTACGAAGGCTAAGCTTGTCTTACCACGCCTCTTATACCACAATTTCCGAGTAAACAGAGAGAAAGAGATTTGAAATTTGTAGGTGAATGAGATGATGATGAGGAGAAGGAAGTGAGAAGATGTAACAGCCCAATTCAGTGAGTTGTGACCTTGAAAAATATTATTACGCGAATCCCAAATAATATTAAGCGGATCTCGTAGGTATTAGTTGAGGCTGATAAAGAGATAGACTAAGCTCAAGCCATTGACACCGTAAAGTAGGGCACTTGTTACCAAGGTAATCTGATGATGATGTTTTAAGGATGTTGATGGGAAACGATCAAGATGAGAAAAAAAAGAGATGAAAGTAAAGAGATACAAACCTTGCAGTGAGTTTAAAGGTTGAAGCTTTTTTATAAGAATCTTGTAACATCTTTCCAAATCCTTTTCTTGCTCTCTGTAAGTAGTTAAAGTTAAAGATGAAACAAAACAAAGTTATAAGATGATGATAAACTTATTAACATGATTAACTTGATTATTGCATTTGTTTTTGTGTGTGTTTTGTTTTGCAAAAGGTAAAGAGGATCAAGTGTAAGCAAACAGATTTGCCATTTTAAAATGATTTCAAATGCTAATAATTTATCAATTTTCAATTTCATTGAAAGTTTTTTTTCACTTTTTTCGGTTTGATTCAATATTGATTCAATGATGAATGATCAATTTAAAGTGTTAATTGGTGCATTTGTGAAAAGGGAAATAATTGAGACAATTTGATGGATTGGAAATGAGTTATCACTCATGTTTGTACTTGTTGATGATGATGTTGTCATGATAGGAGGAAGATGAAGAGATAAATGGACTAGATGAACTTGTCTATGGGTTAAAATGGTCAAAATGACCCCATATAGAAGTTGCTCTAATTTGACTGAAAATAGGTTCTTAAGTGGAACTAATTAGATTAACCATCGATGGTTATGAGGTTTTGTTGTTGCTTGTTTGTTGTTACTACTAGGAGAGAGTGAGAGATGTTGGAAGATGGGAAGAAGAGGAAGAGATGACAATATTGTGAATACAGTGGATTAGTTGGGAGAGAAGGAAAAATGAAAATAACTCTGAGTGTTTTGTGTTAGTTTTTTGCTCTGCTTCTGGTTATTCTTGACGTTGGTTATGATGATGATGAGGGGCAATGATAGTTTGTCCCAAGGAAAGAAAAAGGTAAAGTTACAGGTAAATTGCTATGGGATGGAGAAGATTAACTCCTTCTATGAGTAGGTCTCTCTTGGGAGATAGGAAACAGTGAGAAACAGAAGAATAAGGAAATTATGAGAAGTTTAACAATAGATGTTGGTGGATAGTTGAGTGGCTCTTGTTCAACTTGCCCTGTGTTTATGAGTGAAAATGTCAAAAATTTTTGTCAAAGAAAAAGGTTAAATTATTTTACTTTATTTCTTTTCTTTCTTTTGCTTCTTCGACCAGTTTCTAAGAGGATTCAGACAAGATTGACACTTCAACTCTTCTCTATCAATTTCTCCCTTTCTCAGTTTCTCCTTGTATTCACATTATTATCGGACATCGAAAACCAATGAAAAAGTTGAAAAAAAGAAGAAAAAGAATGGCAGAAGAAGAAGAAGATATTAAGATGAAGATAGGCTAAAAAGGCAAGAAAAGAAGAGAGAAGAAGAAAGAGAGGGAGAGAAGCCGAAAAATTTCTGGCTTAACCTGAAAAAAAAGGTAAATGAAGGTTAGTTATTTGGTTTTCTGTCAAAAGGTTTCTACTTTAAGAAGGGTATAAATGGCTTGAGAGGCTTTTCACAATTAAAATTCGTTTAAAAACGAAATAGAGATGACGATCAAGTGAAAGAGAGAAGGTAAAGAGGAAGATGAAGATGAAAAGTGTTTAAAATGGTCAGGAAAATGGTGAAATGCAAGAATGGTAAAAGTATGAAAATTGACAAATGAATCTTTTTTTCAACCAGAAATGAATAACCACTTAAATCATTATATTTCTTGTTAGGATACAAGGCTAATAAACATGATTAACATGATAAATTTGACAATTTATCGTGTTTTGATAAAAAAAATATCAAAAAAAAGGACCCGAACACGAAACATTTTTACACCTCTAAATGATCTAATCAACTGAGTTAATGAGGCAAAACTGTTGAAATTTGGCTTCAAATGTACAATAAATATTATACTTTTCATTTTATTAAGAATCAAATCAAAATGAATTGAAAAATTCAATTCAACAATTCGACGAAAATTTCAAATAATGAAAAGAATAAATTTTGATAACAATTTTTTCGATAAAATTTCCAGCAAATGTTCAAATAGTATTGTTAACTTGGAAATTGGTATTTTCCAAAAACATCATTTTCGGATGAAATCATTTACAGATTATCGAGTTCGCAAGGGCTGAGGAAATGCTGCAAAATGAGCTCATGGTTCATTGAAACTGGTAATTTAGAAATCGAAATGCACCAAAAAACGAACAATTTTTTTGTTTCGATTCAATCGAAATCAATTAAAAGTATCGAGTTATTGCTCTTTTGATGAAATACATGCATAAGCTGATGCATTGAGATTGTCATTGAAACTCATGCAAATTGAAATCGAACCCATTTTAAAGGCAAAATGAAAATTGAATAAATTCAACTTTACCCAAAGTGATTATTATTCAGTTTTCAAAGTTCAACAATAACCTGAAAAATCTCGAAGTCTATTTCACTTTGAACCTTTGCTTTGGCAACATTTTCAAGTGATGCAAAAATGGGACAAAAATTAGAGGCCAAAATTGGCCCATTAACGATGCAAGGTAAATAAAAGGTTAAAATGCATTATAATAGGTTAACAATATAAATATCAAGGGTAAGATCATATCGATTTAAATATGTTTATGTATCAATAACTTTTCTTTGAAACACTTTTTTTCTCTCTTCTTCACTCTTTTACAGTAAATTGTGAAAAAAGGTGCAAACAAGAAGAAAGGACCACCCAGTAAAAGGTAAGAAAGGTTAACTATCTGAAGAGAGAAGAGAGCAAAAATTTATTCCAACATCAATAATGAAAATGATAACAATATTTGATGTGAAAAAGTCTATTGAAAATGATGTTGGCCAAGCATTTGCCTGTTGATATTATCATCGGTTGCTGATGAACAGGGAGTTTGTCTAGAGCCCAGAGGGAGGTCGATTTTCACGTTTCATCGGTTCATAAAGAGATCGGTGTGAAAGGCTCGGTGTGGTCCAAAATGTTCACTCTCGACTTTCTATTCACATCGTTTTCACTCAATCAACTTGCATCTTATTAATAAATATAAATAAATACATTTTTCATCCTTTTCCCTTCTTTGGTCAACTTTTCAACCTCAATTACAAGCCTCAACAATATAACAAGTTAATTCAACATCCGAAGCCCATTATATTGATATTTACAAGTTTCACTTTTCTTCCTCTTTTTGCCTCTTTATAATCAAATAGGAAAATCAATTTCAAATCATCCAATCAAACCATTTCAACGGTTCATCAGACAAAACAGTTTTCATCATTTTCATTCTTCCTTTCGCATCTCTGGCCATTTGATTTACATTTTGAAAAGTTACCAAAAAGTGAATCAACAAAAGCATTTACATTTTGCATTGACAATTGAATATAAACGAAAAGACATTTTCAATTAACGGAAAGTAACGATATTTAATGTCGCATTTCGGCGCTTTTTGTTTGCCTAAAGAAGAAGAAAAAAACTTTTGTCCAAAAAAAAAGCTTTTTAACAATTGAAGGATAAATGAGCAATTGCTAATCACAAATGATATGCTAATTGATGCCTGAAAGGGTTGATCATTGAACAAGGTAAACAAAACTTGTAATCATTAAGTAAATTACAATCTAATGGAATAATAATTGGTTAAATGGTTAACCAAAACGGTAATGTAAATGACAAATGGAAATGTAAATAATGATGAAAATGAGACTTGCCAGGTTGGAGACTAAATTGTCAACCTTCTTTGCCTAGTTAACCAACTCGAGTCCACTCATCTCCCTCTCTTCATCTCTTCCTTGCTAACCTTTAAAGTCGTCTCTTTTCATCTCTTACACAAAAGCAACTCTGCCTGAAGCACGAAGGGATCAACCAAACCCGTAAAACTACAGCCGTGGTGACAAGACCTTTAAGTTAACCTTTCGATGAATGGTAAAGGCAGAAGCATAAGAAAGACACAAATCAACAACAAAAAAATAATTTTCTCGCTACTGGTGGTGATGAGGTTGATAATGATCATCATGTAGCTTCCTCTTTAACCAGTACTTTTGGCCCCTTTAACCTTTACCCTTTTCTCACTGGTCAACTGTGCTTGTTATCAAGGTAATGTAAGTGAGATTCAAAGTTTTTATTGTTGTGTCGGCAACAAGCCACAAACTAGCTCATCTGTCAGTTTTTAGACTAAACTAAATTTTTTTCAATTTCACCTTTAAAAAGGAGGTTAGAGGGAGGAGGAGGAGGAGAAGGAGGTGAACCAGATACAGTTTGTGTAAATGGAAAGGTTGGGAGACACTTTTTTTTTTCAATTACTTCAGGTAACAATGAAGAGGACTTTTTGTCAAAAATTAAATATCAATTGGTCAAAAGTGAAGGGCAACCAAAAAAGGGATGATGATGGTCAATCAAAAAAGATGGACAAAAGTGATGAATGAAAGGCCAATTAAATGGTTGGCAACACCGATAGGATAGATTACAATGGATCACAATAGGAAACTTGTTTTAAATGACAACTTCTTCTTTCCAATCTTATCACTCCTTTTCAGGTTTTTACTTGCAAGTAAACCCTTTTACCTTTTATAACCCTTTTCAACAATTTACCTGTAACTATCAACGTTTACTCTTTTGTTATCAACACAGACAGACAGTTTTTTTTCTTCTCCTCTTTACTTTTTTGCTGCATCTTACTTTCACCTTTTCACTCTTCAACCAGAAATAATCAAAATAATTGGTAACTTGTAAATTGATCAGTCAGATAATGATAATGAGTTGTTTCAAGTTGAATGGGTTTTTTGGTTTAACTTTTTTTTGTTGTTGTTTTCAGCGCTTTTTTGTTTGGCAAAATTTGCTGATTGATGGCGATATTGATGATGATGTTGCAGACAAAATGACAAAATGTGAAACAAACTAGCAAAAGCAATATCAACAAATGCATCACTTGAGATTCAATTGCATTTGTCATCCTTTTCGGTTTACTTGAACCGCTCTGCACGAGTTCATCTTGTCTTGTCTTGGTTAACCTACATTTTTGTCACAATAACAGTTGAGGTTTCAGTTGACAATCATTTTGTTCAATTGACTGCTTTTTTAGTTCCATCAATAGTTTCGATTAATTCGAGGTAAATGGGAAAATAGGAAAAACTAAGTCAAGACTTTTCAAGTGTCTAGTTGCTGTCAAATGAAAATTTAGTTTGTCAAACTTTC